ATGAGTTTCCAAACTTCATAATCTTTGATATTTAGATTCTCATTTTAAGAATTTGGACACTTAGAAGACGTTTGGTAAGGAGATTCATACCATGATTTGAATCATGGTTCATAGTTCGCTACAGTGTTTTCTCTCAAAAAAATATACGTAAATAAAAAATGATTCTAATCTCATAATTCTAATACATGAAGCAAACGTCTTCTTAAAATCTCTAAACTTTAATATTTTGACATCGTTAATCCTCATCTTATTTTACGTCTTTTTTGGGCCTTAAGTCCCCAAAAGCATATGTTTTGACAGAAATGTCCCCAAAGGCCAAAACTTAATTTTGAAGTATAACTTATTATTTTTTGTCCATAAATAATATTAATATGCCCTGGTATAAAGTGAATTATGATAATTACAATGATTGATTAGAAACGAGAAAAAATTGATAAACATAATTGCTTTTACGCCAATTGCATATTGCTTATTTACATACTTTTTATTTCTAAAAAAGAAAAGTATGTAATTGGACAACTAATTTTTGCATTACTATTCTTATTTACATTTGTTGTAGTTTGTAATATTGGACAGAAGTTTCATTCAAAAAACGTTGTAGTTTGGAACCAACTTGCCCAAAATGTATTTGAATTGATGGCCATTTTTCTCAATTTATTCATAAATTTCTTTTTTTTTGCCTTTTATAATAATCACTTTGTTGTCATAATCAAATTTTTGTTAGGATACATTATTTATGGACACAAAATAGAAAGTTAAACTTCAATAAAGAAAAAAGATTTTAAGGACTTTTCCGTGAAAAAATATATTTAAGGCGCAAAAAAATTAACTAATGACATCTCTTATGGTTTTTAATGGCATGGGGACTAATGGTGCCAATAAATTGAATTTGGAGACTTGATTGTACAAATTCTTAACATTAAAATTAATAGTGTTAACAGATTAAGGCCCCGTTCATTTCACCGATTCGAGTTTAGAATTTGAGTTTTGCTACAGTAAAAAGCTATCAGAAACAGTCATATCTAACCTTTTTGCTACAGTAAAAAATTCTTACATAAAGTCACATCTAAACTCGAATCAGTGAACTAAATGAGCTCTAAGTAAAACTTTTTTGTTGTGGTTAGGATTTTGGAGGTACGAATATGGGATAAGGTGGGTGGGCTGAAATTTTGGAATTGGAAAATTGGAGTGGGTTTGGTTTGATAGGTAAACAATGTTAGCAGGAACATCTATGTTGTTAATTCAAGGTTTTTTCTTTCTTTCTTTCTTTCTTTTTTTTTTTTTTTTTGGATAGAATATTGTTAATTCAAGTAGGGTATTATGGGGGTTTGTGTAGGTTCCAGACTGGTATTTTTAGTTGGATTAGATTTCTATTCTTTTATTATTTTCCGTGAAGATTTATGCATGTCTTTTTAATTAGATTAGACTATGATCCCCAACGAATGGTCTTTAATCTATGATTACATCTTAGGACTCTTAAAGTTATTAAGTTTTTAAGAGGAGTTTCACACGATCCAGTTTATATTATAATAACAGCAATACATATATAAATATATATTATATGGTTCACAACCTATTGGAATCAGAGGAGCATATGCTACATCATAGGTGTCACATGACCCACTTATAAAACTTAAAGTTCTTGAGAGTTGGTCTATAAAGAATTTTATATCTCATTGGAAGGAGAGATGGCAAACCTTGAAATTGAAAGTGTTTGCTTAAAAGGAAGAGCATGAATTCTTTATTCTGTTCTTCTTTTCTTTCTTTCTTTCTTTCTTTCTTTCTTTTTTTTCCCTGACGTTTGGTTTATGGATTAGAATCTTAAGATTAGAATTATTTTTGATTTATATGTATTTTTTATGAGAAAAAATACTGTAATGAACCATAAATCATGATTTAAATCTGGGTACAAATCCCCTGACTAAACAACCCGATCCTCTTCCGCTTATTCATGTGTTGATACATGTTACGATATTCAATTGAGCAAAATTTCCAGAGGTTTTCTTTTTTTTTTTTTTTTTTTTTTAAATTACCCGAAGTCCTCAAACTTTTTACCCTTTGGGGTCTTTATTTTAAAATTCGCCTAAATGTATTTCAAAGTTAAACTTCTATTTCTTTAACACATGGGACCGAATTTTAAAAATTTTAAGATAATAAAATAAATATTTCGGAACTTCAAAATAATAACCATATCAATATTTAGTCATGAGTAAGCATATATTATAATATTTTAATTCGTTTAGATTTATAAGTCACTTGATTTTCTTAGGGACCTTCTCTGATACGTTAACATAGCGGCAGGGTAAATTTTTTTTCCGTCAGATTTATATAAAATAACGTAAAAGTAAAAAAATACGTAAATCTAACAGTTAAAAAAACCTAACCTACCGGTACGCCACGCGTACTAGAGAATCTCTTATTTTCTTATTATTAACTTAATAAACTTAAATTTCGATACTTTTTAAGATAAAAACAGGAAAAGAAATTTTTAGGGACTAGAGGTGTAAGTTTTACTACAGTAAAAAACTCTCAGAAACAGTCACATATAATTTTTTTAAGATTTTTGATAAAAATGGTTCTTTTTAACTATCAAACATGAATTACTATTCTAAATTGTTTAGATTAAATTTTAACGGTTTGATTTGTAAATTTTCATGTTAAAATTTTACCATGCACGACATAAAATTGCTCCAACATATCATATTGTTGAAAATTTAGGCTTCGTTTATTTCACCGATTCGAGTTTTCAATTTCAATTTTGCTACAGGTAAAAGTTCTCACAAAAATTCACTTCTCACCTTTTGTATTATAATTAAAAACGCTCATATAAAATCACATCTTAATTTAAATTAGTGAACTAAATAAGGTCTTAATCTAACACTTAAAACAGCAGTATCTACCTTAAACTATTTGGATTGCAATTAATAATTTTAACAATATTTAATGCATCTTGTTTCTCTTTTTTTTCCCTCCAATATTTAATTTTAACAATATACTATATATCCTATGGGAATAGGAGCTACATTAATGGTAAAGGAATGAGATAAAAATAGAGGCGTAACATTTCCTGTTACCACGTGTCAGTTTCTGATTAGACCATAGGCAAGCAACGTCTGGAAAGTGCATGGAGAGAGCAGCAGCAAAGTAGTCAAAGCAAAGACCGGATAAGCCAAGCAAACCAGGCGTACAGTCAAAGCAAACACTGTCTTGGTCAAATGCCCAGCTGGCACTTTATATAAAATATGTAACAAAAATTAAAAAGGCCACTCTGACTGGGCCCCACTATCCCCAACTTTGTTTCCCCTTTTTCTTCTCTCTCAAAAATAAAAATAAAAATTAAATTAAAAAAAGGACGTTTCTCTCTGATTGGTTTTTCAAAAATTTTATTGGGGTTAAAATTTTTTTCCCTGGGTTTTAAGGTAAAAAAAAAAAAAAAAAGGATCTGAAATATTCGATTTGCTAAATCGAGATGTGCAATGAAGGTCCACTTTTTAACCAAAGCTCTTCAAGTTCATCGTGGTTCGGACCATATTTCTTTTTCTAATGTTTTTTATCCTCGTCCCTCGTGGGGGTTTTCTGGATTTTAGTAAATTTTGACCATTTTTTGCCCTTTTCTTTTGGTTAGTGCAGGAACATGCTTTGGATTAAAAGACCAGTTTGTCCTCGTCTCATTTTAGGGAAACAAAAAGATCACAAGCCATAATTGATTTGAACTTTGAACCCAGTAATCATTTAGGGTTCGTTTGGTTGAAGGATTCAAATCATGTGATTCGAACCATTTTTAATTTACGTGTATTTTTTGTGAGAGAAAATACTGTAATGAATCACGAATCATGATTCGAATCAGGGAACGAATCCCTCTACCAAATAACTTCCTTTTTTTTTCTTTTTGAGGTTAGAGTAATTTATTTATTTATTTATTAAACTTGCAACAATAATTTGTCTACTAATGTATAATGATGAAAAACCATAGCAAACAACCTTTTGTGTGGTAGAATGCATAATATTCAAAGCAATAATAACTTATTAAGTTGTGGCCCCATAGCAATAATCATATTAACTTCAATTGTTGTGGTTTTAAATGTTTTTCTTTTTATGCATTGTCATCAAATGTTTTCGTAAGATACATAAACTTAAAATTAAAAAAAAAAACTAAATAAAGAAAGATGAAAAACAACAAAAAATTAGTAGTAGGGGTTATTTCTTTTACAAAACTAAAATGTATAAATTTAATCAATATTAATTATTTTATTTTATATCATTGTCATCAATGATTATAATTGTTGCCAATTATCATAAAATATATAAGTATACGATATATTAATAAAAAATAGTTAGGGTTAATGTTATCAATGAAATATTTTTATCTTTTATCTTTTTCTAGTGCCCAACAAAAAAGTTAACCCGTTGTCAAAATGTCATTTTAGGCTCAAGTAACTCCAGGGATGAAAATGTCATTTCAGAAGCCTTGTAAATGGAGAAAGGAAAGAAACACAGAAAGTTAAAAAAATAAAAATAAAAATAAAAATAAAAGGAGACAAGTAATTGACTGCACGTGTGGTGCGCGGGACGAGGGGCTTATTCACCGGCTGCAGCCCGTGGTTCCCGGTCACCCGATATTTTAAAGACACTTTTTTTAAGTTTAATTCATAAATTAAAATTATGTGATTAAAATTATTTTTAATTTATGTATATTTTTTATAAGAAAAAATATTATAGTTAATTATATAGTTTGAATCATCTAACTAAATATTAATCTCAATTTATTTTATTTTTAAATAGTTTTTATTTTTTCGCTGTTTTTAATAAATAATTAATAAAATTGCGTTTCTTTTACTGTTTTTCCGTGAAGGGTCAAACTGCCCAAAAGCAGAGCCAAAGAGGAAGCCTTTGCCAGGGGATAAATGGCTTTCTCTCTCTTCTCCCTTCCTTGGCCTATGGCGGTACGGCCTCTTTCATAGTTTCTTCTTCTTCTTCTTAAATCTCTTTGAATGGTCTAAATCTTTTTTATTTCTTCTTCTTAAATCTCTTTGAATGGTCTAAATCTTTTTTTTTTCCCTTTGTGGTAAAAGGGGTTGTTGATTTAACCCTTTTGGAGAGCTTGGGCGTGAAGTGAAAGAAGTTTTGATTGTGTGTTTATGATGTGTGTTATCATTGTAAAATGGTGCTTTTGACCACAAAAAGAGGGATCAGATAAAGCAAAGAAAAGAGAGAGAGAGAGAGAAAAAAAAGGGAAAAGGAACAGGTTTTGTGTGTGTGTGCACAATAAAGAGAGTATTATTGTTGCTTGTGATTGTCAATGAAAAAAGAAAACTTGACGAAAATTTCTGTTCATCTCTCTTTTTATTATTTCTTTTCATGTGCCACCCAGAGTGTAATGTGTCATTGCAGTGATTTTTCTTGAGCTTTTCTTTTTCCTTTTTTTTTTTTGGGTTCTTCTGTTCTGGGGTTGGTCTGTTTTTTCATTTTCTCTTTGTTTCTAAAGTGGGGTTTCAAACATGCCGATGTTTGAGCCCTCAAAGAGAGATGGGTATGTTCTAGATCTGGACACTGCCGTTAAAGATGGAGTCTTGGGTGGTGTTGGAGGTGTCGTTTGTGGTGGTGGTGGTGGTGGTGGTGTCGTTTGTGGTGGTGGTGTCGTTGGTGAGAAATTGGATCTGAAGAAGATGATTGAAGAGCTTGATTTGTCCGAGGTTCCATCTGTGTTCATTTGCCCAATCTCTCTTGAGCCAATGCAAGACCCGGTGACCCTTTGCACTGGCCAAACCTACGAGAGGTCCAACATCCTTAAATGGTTCAACTTGGGTCACCTCACTTGCCCAACCACTATGCAAGAGCTTTGGGATGATTCAGTCACACCAAATCGGACCCTTTACCACCTAATCTACACTTGGTTTTCCCAAAAGTATTTGCTGATGAAGAAGAGGTCTGAGGATGTCCAAGGAAGGGCCTCCGAGCTTCTCGAGACTCTGAAGAAGGTTAAGGGCCAAGCAAGAGTGCAGGCTCTTAAGGAGCTCCAGCAAGTTGTGGCGGCTCATGCCACTGCTAGGAAGACGGTGATTGATGAAGGCGGGGTTGCCGGGATTTCGTCGCTGTTAGGCCCGTTTACCTCCCACGCAGTTGGGTCCGAAGCCATTGGGATTCTTGTGCACTTGAGGCTTGATTCGGAGTCGAAGACGAACTTGATGCAACCGGCGAAAATGTCGTTGTTGGTGGACATTTTGAATGAAGGGTCTATCGAGACGAAGATCAGTTGTACAAAGTTGATGGAGATGCTGATGGAAGAGAAGGATTTTAGATCCGAAATCGTTTCGAGCCACAGCCTCTTGGTCGGATTGATGAGGCTGGGGAAAGATAAGAGACATGCGAATGGAATTTTGGCCGGTCTTAGCCTCCTGAGAACTATATGCTTGCATAAGGAAGTAAGGGGTTTGCTTGTTAGAATTGGGGCTGTTCCTCAATTGGTGGATTTGTTGCCTTCTCTAGACCCCAACTGCTTGGAATTAGCCCTTTTCATTTTGGACTCTTTGTCGACTCTACCGGAGGGAAGATCAGCTTTGAAGGATTGCTCAAACACTATTCCGAATGCCGTGAGGCTTCTGATGAGAATTTCAGAGAGCTGTACGCAATATGCGTTATCGATCCTATGGTCTGTTTGCAAACTTGCTCCAGAGGAATGCTCGTCGGCTGCTGTTGATGCTGGTCTCGCGGCGAAGCTTCTCCTCGTTATTCAAAGTGGTTGTAGTCCTTTATTGAAGCAGCGATCTTCGGAGTTGTTGAAGCTTTGCAGCCTAAATTATACAGATACTTTGTTCATTTCCAAGTGCAAGCTCACAAGGACAATTCAGTGATTAGAAATAAGTTTTTATTTGGTCTTCCACACCACCCCTCAAATGTCTTGAGGCTAAGGAGATGATGACCCTCGAAAGGAATCGAAAGATTTCCAGATGAGCCCAATGTTATAGAGGGTTAAAGGTACAAAACCGGCTCTTCTGTATATACTAAAAGTCTTTGCATTCCAACAGTTGATTCAACATTCATGAAGAAGAATCATAATGTGGATATCACATTCGTGTACGTTTTTTACTTGCTGCTGGTGCTCCTGCCAATGTTTATTTTTTGCCAATAAAACCCAGCTAGAAAGATGAACAATTTTAACTGTTGTTGGATAAAGATACTTGCTAGGAGGGGCCAAAAAAAGAAGAGGGAAAACAAAACAAAAAAAAAGAACTTCGGAGCTTTGCAATTGCAATTGTAATTGTTGAGGAATTGCTTGCTCCATTGTTGTTCTCTTGTAGTAACTCTTTAGCTTAAGTAGTCTTTAGGGGTCTGGAAAGCTCCAATTTTCCTGTTGTTCTTAGTGGGGGGTTTACCATTTGATCCCACAGAAAATTGTGAAGACTTGGAGATGCTATTGGGCTTTTATCCTTCAAGAATATCCATTCAAATATGTAAAATGAAATCAGTTTCAACCATTTCAGTTGCCCTCCTTTCTCTTTATGCTTCTGCATATCACTCACTGTTAAGTTCTTGTTGGTTTTGCAATATCCTTTGGTAGTTACTTTGTCGGAGAATTCTATGACAGGATATAAAAGACACCCATGAGCGCAGTGTCTGTTAAAATATCTTATTTTTCATAATTTAATATGATTCTGATGCGGATTAAAAACCGGTTTTACGGTAATGGATTCATTACAGAATTATCCTTTTTTCCCCTTTTCAAAATGGGAATTTTCCCACTCCAATAGCTTCCATCTCAACAAGCCAAAGTTCTGAAGTTACCCCGTTGGTTTGCGTGAATTGGTCTTGGTTTTGTGTTGTTTGTTGATCTTTCTCATCAAAATTGGGACTTTCTCTGTCAATCACACAAAGGGCAAGAGTGGGTTGCAGGTCTTCATTAGAGATGCAACAGCAAATGCTAAAACTTTTACTGACTTTGGAGATGACTAGACAACTAGGTGAAATGGTGTACTTCCTTTTATCCTTTTGCGGCAAGTGTTTAAGGAGTGGACCCATTCTTACACTTCACTCACTCACTCAATCACTCACTGCTCAGCTGAATTGAAAAGAAAGACATGAAATGAAAGTTCACAACTTGGCTTTCACTTGAACAGTTGTAGCTTCCTCAATCCCAAAAAAATATACGCAAACACACACGTATACATATGATATTAATATTATCGGGATTTTTTTAATAGGTGATTTAATTAAGTTTTTAATTTGAGTTAAGATGTGATTTTATATAAAATTTTTTTATTATAGTAAAAAAGTCAGGTGAATTGTTTATGAGACATGAAATGAGAGATTTTTGTGAACGTTTGGTTCATAGAGTCAGAATTATTTTTGATTTACGTGTATTTTTTATGAGAGAAAATACTGTAGCGAATCACGAATCATAATTCGAATCAGCAAAATGAGCGAAACTTTAGTTTTTGATCAGAATTAATTCAAAATCACATTAAATTTAAAAAATACGTAGAATAAATAATTTTTAATATAAATTTAACGGTTTAAAATAGATTTTTAAGTAGTTTATCTTCTATTATAGAAACTCCTCTGTATAATTACATTGGCTCCAAATTGTGGTGGCAAGTGCTAGCTACCCATGTTGGCCCTGCAACCACTGCTTACGCAGTAATCTATTTTTGAGTTATCCATTTGATTCTTGTGGACTCAAAAAGGAGACACTTTGAAAATGATAAATTTGGGCTGTCAACAACAAAATCATGCTTTAGATTTTCTTTTTATTCGAGTGTTTTTGGATGGACGTAGCGTTTAAATCAAGATGGGTTTATCTATTTTGACTATTCCACCAACATTGTTTGGGTCCTCATTTTTGGTGGGGTTTTCTAGTCTCCCTGTGTTGGGGGACAACAGCGCCAACACTTTTTCCTTTTTTTTCTTTTCCTTTTCCTTTTATTTTAAATTTTCGTTTTCCAACCCTATTTTGTTCTCTGCCTTTAAGAGATGTTTGATAATCTCATTATTCATTCCCTTGCGTTTAGAAAGAATCTCAGTACAAAGATGGCTTGGTATTGGCATCTTTGAACGACAGCTCGTCCCGAATTCATGGAAAAGCTAAAATTCTTCTGGGAAAAGCCCAGTAGAATTTCTTCAAAGGAAAAAGAGACAAATACTATTTTTTTAATTAAATAATTATATTAATTAAAAAGATATTAATTAAGAATAATAAATAAAAATAAATACTCATGCACAGTAATTCTCTCTCCGTTTTTTTTTTTTTTATTGACCCATATATATATATTCTTTAAATGGGCTTTTTGAGGCCTGCCTTTCGGATTCGGTTGCATTTTGGACGAATATTTTTATGCACTATTATGAAGTTAAGTATAAGCAATTAGTGGCTCACACAACCATGAACGTTCTAGTAGGCCCAGGAGGAGTTTCTCTAAATCCTGATGATGTATTAGTTTATATTATACATATACTACAAGAAATGACGGGATTCACTATTCATGCTACAGTATTATGAACAGTATCTTTTCCGTTTTAGTATCTATCTATATAAATGAGATACAGCTCATCTTTTTGCCAATTGTTTAATACTCTCGAAAGGCCCGGATTCTATTATTTGACAATAGGCAAATCATTTATTACTTTCTCAAGGGTTTTTTTGTTTTGTTTTTTGTTTTTAAACCTAATTAAAGATAGTGATTTCGTGCAATGAGGCATCTTTGGCAAGTTACATTCAAAACAAACTACTAAGGTGATAGCTTAATGACATTGGGCTCTCTCTCAAGTAGTTTGGTGGATAGAATATCTTAAGTTTAAGCCTTATGAAAAGTGTTTGAGACTATTTTTAGATTATCGGTTCAATGTTTATCGGTTCTTTCGGTAAGACTAAAATGACATACTTCATATGCACATTTCTTAGTTTGTTACGGGTTTAATTGCCTCTCCTTACACGTTAACCAAAAAGAAGGTACACGTATAGAGAGCCTTCTTTTATATGTTAAATCATATACTAAAATTAGGTTCCATTATGTAATCTTATTCTATTGAAATTAGGCTCTAATTGTTTATTTCTCGTGGATATAAGATTTTCTATATAATGCTTTTCTTTGAGTTATGTGGTTATATCATTATTAAAATATCTTGAGAGTTCTTTCACCTATTTTGCTTCAATAATTCCCGATATTAATATACTTTGGTAAACATATACAGTCCTAATTTAAACCACAACAATCTCCCAGGAAAATCTCACGGTCACATTGAAGAATTAAGAAAGTCACGCCGAAACAGATTCATGCATGGAAAGTGGAAACACCTGTTTTTCATGATGGCATAATTGGAATCAAGCAGTTAAAAGGCCGACACATACGGCAAGTACTACGTCATGGTGTATAAATTTCAACATAATTCTCTATCCTTTTCTACCCAAAAATAAATAATTAAATAAAATTAAGTATATAAAAAGTATGTTTAATTCGTCAATTTAAATTTTTAGTTAGAGTTTAGATGTGATTTTATTTGAGTTTTTTATTGTAGTAAAAAAAATAATTGTGACTGTTTCTGAGAGCTTTTTACTATAACAAAACTTAAATTTTAAACTCGAATCGGTGAAATAAATAAGATCTTAAATTTTAACTAATAAATTATAGAATGAAACAATTTTAACCGGTGAAAAGAAAAATGACATATTAACAGTTGATATTATTTCCTTAAAAAATTTACAAATCTATGGGCGCATTATCTTGTTTAATCTTTTTGACTTTGGACAGAAAAAAAAGGTGAGACAATATTTGATAAAACAAATACCAATCTTAACTGTAATGATACCTTATTGTCTATAAAAGTATGCTTGTAAAGTGGTGGTTATATTCACACACTTTCTTTTTCTCCCTCTCTTTTTAAATACATACTTCATATTATTAAATTTATTTTTTACATACTCCTGTAATTCCAAATTTACCCTTAATTATATCTAAGATTATTGTACCTGTTTGGAATCTTTTCTGAAACGTTTTTTGAGGAGAAAAAAATAGAAATCATTTGAGAATTGCGTTTGGAACAATCTTCAACCAAAAACAAAACTGAAAACGTTTTTGGCCTTTCTCACAAAATCACCTAATTTCTGAAAACGAATTTGAGTCCTTTTTCTTTACCCGTTTTCATTTTCTCCTCACTATTTTCTCGAACCTCACCAAATCTGAACCTTGTTCTCATGATCAACACTGTTTGGAACAAGTTGTCTCGGCCTGCCAAAAGCGTCGGAGTCTTCGTCGGTGACGGCCAAAAGCGAATGTTTGCCTTGAGAAATGATCTCGGCCGTCGATTTCCAAATGGAGCTTTTGATGTCGTCAATCACTTGGCCGACCGATTCGAGCGACTCCTGAGTGACGGTGGCGCCGATATCGAGCGACACCGGGAGGTCCTTGATGGCGCATGAGGAGGCGTTGCGGATCACCGCCGTCTCCATCCTCAGGTCGGAGCCAAACTCCTCGAGATCCTTGTAGTAGGTGGGAGCGTCGTCGTTTTGAGCTCGTCGGAGTCGGAGGGCTCCAATGATTCGTCGGTGAAGACAGACTTGAAGAAATCCATTGAAGGAGAAGAGTTCGCAGGAGAAAACGACAATAAATTGATGAAACGACAATTTTGAAAGGGGATAAGCTGAGGAGGAGTTTAATATATTATTATTTTAAATACTATTACATGTTTTTAAAAATAAAACCACCAAACACAGTTTCAATTTTTTTTAGACTGAAAATAATTTTTGAATAAAACTACTAAACACATTTTCAGAAATGATTCCTGCCTGAAAATGAAAACGTTTTCATTTCCATTTTCATACAGAAAATAAAATCATTTTAGAATGAGTTCTAAACGTGTCCATTAATTTTTAACTTTTCCATTTTTTTTTCACAACCACCAATTTCATTTTAATTCTTTACTTTATTATTCATTTTACTCTTTTTTTTTGTTGTTGAAGTTTTAGGCATGAAGCATTTTCTCATACATAAGTAAAATTTACTGTTAAAATTTTTTAGAATAATTAAGGACATTTATTGTAGAAAAGTTTTAATAGCAAAATCTACATTTTTTGACATCTCTATTTAGAAATATAATTCTAAATTTTTTATAGTAAAATTTCTTTATTTTTCTAAAAAATGTAATATTAAATTTTCTTAATGTAATAAAATTGCTTCATGTTTAAAGTTTCAACAGAAAAAAAAAAGAGAGAGAGACATTGAGAAATAATAGTATTAACGTATGTAATTAAAATGAAATGGTGGGTGTGAAAAGAAAAGAAAATTATAAAGAATTCATAATCTTATGAAAATAGTTAAGAGTAATTTTAGAATAATTGGGGTATGTAAAAGTAAATTCTATCGAATTTAAAGTTATGTGGAGTGTGTATTTAAAAGGGGAATGTGGAGAGTAAAAAGACCCTTGTTAATAGAATTACTATTGTAAAATAAATCAACTTCTTCCTCTTTGATATATTTACTTTTTCTTTTCTTTCTCCTCTACTAAATATTGTAAAAGAAAGCTTCCTTTCTTTTTATCGTCCTCATATTGATATTTTGTTTTGTGAGTTCAAAGTAAATGGCCAGTTTTAAGTTTTTTTTTTTTTTTTAAGTAAATGACCTAAGTTTTATTAAATTAGAAAAATGATTGGTTTTTAATAAATGGTAATCAGCAATTTATTGAATTTTGGTCATCACTGATTCCTTGATGGTTTACCACTAATTAATCAATATCAGTCCATTGATTAACTAATGTCAATCAATAATTTACCGGTTTATTAGTGTAAATTATCAAAAAAAAAAAATGCTAAACCGATTTCTCAGTGTTAAATCATTGGTATCTTATTGATTAATCACTGTAAAAATAGCCATTTACTTGTTCGGCCATCAATTAAAATGCGTGGTCAAGACTCAAAACCGGCCATTTTCCCTTCAATGTTAAAGAATGGGCACTTCTGTGTTCAACACCAGCAAATGTTTTAGTGGAGAACATTTTACAGAAAATGAATGAGAAGTGACAATTTTACCACATTCATGAACATAGGACGAGCAAAAACATATAATAATTGAAAGAAAAAAAACAAGAATTGTGAGTTTTGACTTTCCAGCCAAGAAGAAGAATTTGAGTTGTGAGACGTGACCCACGTAATATTTTGAGGAAATATTGGCCGATTCAGTTCGATCGCCAGAAAATTCTTGCCCCAAGTAGGCCCATTGATTGGATTACTTCATTAAACGCCAGAGCAGCCACACTTTAATTAGTTAACATCAAGTTTGTAACCACAAATATATAATTGTTTCACTTTCAAAAGCGACAACAATTTTTTTTTTTTTTAAATTTTTTTTAGAAAGAAGTCCGGCATCGTAAAATTAGCACCAGATGTGATCAAAAGTTTTTTCTTTTGGGAAAGTATCTGATAAAAAAAAAGTAGAATTTAATAAAAACCTGACGTTGAAAATAGAACTCTAATGTTCTTAGATACGTTAGGATACTATCACAAAAGTTTTTCGATAAAAAAGAAAGAAAGAAAGAAAGGTACTCAACTTTGCTTGTTCTTGAGTTTCAATTTAATACAATTATTATATTATCATGATGTTAAATTTGTGAGCATTTTGACTGTATTATCAACGCCGTGAAAGACATAATGCACGCTCATTCGCAAGTAATACACACACATATACACATTACTTTCTTTGATTTCTGCACGTTTCTACAAAAATCACCACCGACTATAAATATCTATTGTTGAGCGGTATTTCTGAAATCATTAAACATGCGATAAATTCAAAGGCTCGTCCGAGCCTAAGTTCTCCCGAGCCCAAGCTGCCCTGAGCCCAAGCTCTCTCGAGCCCAAGTTCCCCCGAGCCCAAGCTCTCCCGAGCCCAAGCGCTCCCGAGCCCAAGCTCTCCCGAGCCCAAGCCGAAAGTTCAAAGGTCGCGTGATGTTATCAAGTGAAGTAACTGACGCTAATTGAAGACATTGAATGGTTAAAAGTTAATTCTCATTGATTATTTATCAGTTTTTACTCACAAAAAGGTGAAGAGCCTTATTGTAATTAAGAGAGAATAAACTCTCGAATTAATGGGAGAATTAAACTCTCTCAATCCTAATGTACTATAAATTCCCTCAATTTGAGAGGAAAAGGGAGACCCATTTTTCTGCATACAATTGCCTTGTGATTGTCTTCATTTTATTATTTCCTTCATAGGTTCTTTGTGTTCTTCGAGTGTTCTTCCAATTTCCTTAAATAATTTACTTATTCAATTCAAATTATTTGTCTAGGAACGTTGGATAAGTGTTGACGAAATTTGCTCCAACATCTATATATCTATCTATACATATATTCATATATATATATATATTATTCATATATATATATATATATATATATATATATAGTGGCTGCGCTAACTGATCATCATCTGCGTTGAATTCAAATTTGTACAGCTACAAAGCCATCTAAGTACAGACTTCAAATTAAGTCCAATATTCGTTTGGTCATTGGTGCTTAAACATGGGAAAAAAGAATATTAATAAATTACTGAATAAAAAAAATCTCAAATTTTCATGTGACGCAGCTCAGGAAAATAAATTATAAATAGTTCCTTTGATCCTTTCTCATAATTTGTACACAATTAAGACGAAATAATTTCGTGGGGTCACAATATATTCTATGTGTTCATATGCCACCACATATATAGACATAATAGTTATATCGCCCAAATGCAAACCATGCGATTGCCATGCAAATAGGGCTTGTGTATCGTGATTGGTTCACGGGACATCCCACCACGTGGCCATGAAACACGTGCCCTATATATTGGGACCCTCTTTTTTTTTTTTTTTTTTTTTTCTTTCTCTCTTAAAATTTGATGTGAAATAATATTGGCATATCCATTAATATTTAATAGTGCGAAAATTGGACTGGGTCTTATATACAATCTCATAAGACTAAAAGAAAAGAAAATGTTCCCCAAAGTCTTGGAATTATGAAAGGAAAGTTCGGAGCAAAATATATTGAAAAAAAACTTTATAATATATTACATATTATGTATTTATATGTTTTCGTTTGGCTTAAGTGCTTACCAATAAATGTGATGCAGCAGCTTATTTTATTTGTTCATGTGACTCGTCGTTTGTCTTATTATTATTTCATGTTATTGTCGTTTCCTTTGATGTAGCCTTATCAGGCAAAACTACTTGTCATTTTAGTTCAGCAAAACTACTTGTCGTTTTGGTGCAACCTTATAAGACAAAACGTTCTCCTCTCTGAGGCAGTTAATAAGAATTCTCTTTCTAAAATATTATTTCTGAGCTTGTCTCTAGTTCTTGTTGAGTAGTGTTTTCTCACCTAGGGAATTTGGACTTTCCAGTCCTTTCTTTGTCCGATTTAGTCGGTAAACCAGTGTTCCCCGCTGGTGCTACGCCAAATTGGTATCAGAGAGTCAGGTTGTTCCCCGTCCTCCGATGGCGAAGCACGGCGAGGAAAGTTCGAAGAAAATTACTGTCGACAGCGGAGAGGTTGAGGCACTGTGGAACACCATGAGAGACCTTGAGCAGCGCATCGAGATGAAGTTTGACAAGACGTGAGGCCCTGTCAAAATTGAAGTCCACCAGCGGAGACGGATCTAGAAAAGCACACCGTCAGGGAGATCGAGACGTGACTCTTACCCCGCCACGTCTTCATTTTCGACGGGAAGGCAACCATCGTCGCCGGTATTTGTCGAGATCGGACGAATCAGAGTCAGAGGAGGAGCTCCTGTGCAGAAGGAGACACTACAGAGTCGCATCAGAAACAGAAGATGAAGATGACCTTGATCTCAGGTACGATTGCCATCCTACAACTCGATCTAAAGGATTCAAGTTGAAAATCGATATCCCAGAATTTGATGGTTATTTGGACATTGAGAAATTTCTGGATTGGTTAAAAACTGTGGATAATTTCATGGATTATATGGATATACCAAAGAGGGAACAAGTGAAACTGATAGCCTATAGGCTGAACGATGGAGCTTCAGCTTGGTAGGAACAATTGAAGATGCAGCGCCGAGAGGAGGGGCGGGGTTCTATCAGATCTTGGAGACAGATGAAAGAACTCCTGAAGTCACAGTTCCTCCCAATCGATTATGAACAGATCTTGTACCTGCGATTACAGAACTGTGCTCAGGGGGGCAGATCTGTTAGGGACTATGCTGAAGAATTTCTGAGGCTCAGTGCTAGAAACAACCTTCACGAAAGCGGCCTTCAGCAAGTGGCCCGGTTCATCCGAGGTCTCCGAGAACCTATACAGGAGAAGCTTAAACTTAAAACCATTAAGACATTATCCCAAGCTATCAACCTAGCCTGCAAAGCTGAATTAAGCGTAACCAAAGTCCCTAAACCACCTTACTATCACAGAAACACACCAGACCACTCCCAAGACAGAAACCACCAGCCACTCACTCCAAACACCACTAACCCTTATAACCCACCAAAAACTCAAAACACCAGAGCCCCCTTCAGACCTAATTCATCCGCAAACACCCAAAACAACACCACCAACCCTAACACTACCTCTAACCCATACGCTAAACCTTATGGCAGCAGGTGCTATTGCTGCAACTAAGTGGGTCACAAGTCCAACGAATGCCCCATCCAGAGACCTCAAGCAAATCTCACTGAAGTGGAGACTGAATCGGGTAGTGAGGAGTACATTGAGACCTTTGGGACGTTTGAAGGAGTTGAGATAATGGAAGGAGATGTGGGAGACGAAGTCATTTGTGTTATGTAGTGCCTACTCCTTTCTCCAAAGAGACATGAACCTTCTCAGCGGCACGCTATCTTTAAGACAAAATGCACCATCAATTCGAAGGTGTGCAATGTCATCATTGACAGAGGGAGTAGTGAAAATGTGGTGTCGAGGAACTTAGTTAAGACACTTGGGTTGAAGGCTACTAAACACCTCCAACCTTACAAGATTGGTTGGGTCAAGAAAGGTGTGGAAGTTCGGGTTGACGAGGTCTGTCAAGTACCTTTCTCCATTGACAAATTCTACAAGGATGAGGTCGAATGTGACGTCATAGATATGGATGCTTGCCATGTATTATTGGGCTGGCCGTTGGAATTTAACATGAAGGCTCTCCACAACGGGCACGAGAACACGTATCAATTTGAATGGAAAGGGCGAAAGATTGTCCTCTTACCCCATAAAGACCAGCCGATCAAACCCATTGCTGACTCCCTCGAGAAGAAAGTGATGCTCAGCGTGAGTGGAGCAACTTTTCAAAAGGATATGAAGGGTGAACCTTTTATCTTTGCCTTGGTGTTAAAGGAAGCCCCTGAAGAGAATGCCCATGTTTCTCCTTCGTTGCAATCCTTGTTGCAAGACTTTGGAGATTTGACCTCCGAGGAACTACCAAGTACACTGCCGCCCATACGCGACATTCAACACCATATTGACTTGGTTCCTGGGGCTGCCCTCCCGAACCTTCCCCATTACCGGATAAGTCTAAAGGAAAATGAGATCCTTCAAGGCATCATCGATGAGCTATTAACCAAGAAACTTATTCGACCGAGTTTGAGCCCTTGTGCCGTGCTTGCACTCTTGGTTCCCAATAAGGATAACACATGGTGGATGTGTGTGGATAGCCGAGCAATCAATAAGATCATCGTAAAGTACCGTTTCCCTATCTCGCGCTTTGAGGACATGCTCAACAAGTTGGAGGGTTCCACGGTATTCTCCAAGCTCGACCTTCGCAGTGGCTACCACCAAATTTGAATTCGGCTTGGTGACAAGTGGAAAACAGCGTTCAAGACGTGCGAGGGCCTGTATGAATGGTTAGTGATGCCCTTCGGGCTATGCAATGCTCCTAGTACCTTCATGCGACTTATGCACCAACTCTTCAAACCCTTCATTGGTAAGTTCATCATCGTCTATTTCGATGACATTATTATTTATAGCACGGGTGAATCTGAGCATCTCACACACTTGGCGGCTGTGTTCAGCGCCCTACGGCAGAACAAGCTTTTTCTTAACCTGAAAAAGTGTGCTTTCATGATGCCTAAGGTTCTTTTCCTTGACTTCGTGGTGAGTGTTGATGGCATAGCCACTGATGAAAAGAAAGTTAAAGACATCAATAGCTGGGTGACTCTAACAACTACCAGTGAAGTGCAGAGATTCCACGGGTTAGCCACGTTCTATCGTCATTTTGTGCGCAATTTTAGTAGTATCGCTGGCCCTCTAACCGACTGCCTCAAGCGCAAGACGTTGCAGTGGGGACCTGCCCAGGATGAGAGTTTTCAGATTCTCAAAGCCAAGTTGAGCTCGGCCCCCGTCCTCGCATTGCCCAATTTTGACAAAGCATTTGAGGTAGAAATAGATGCATTGATGTTGGGAGTGGGAGCAGTTCTCATATAATGAGGCAGACCCATTGAATTTTTCAGTGAGAAATTCAATGAAACGAAGTAGCATTAGTCCACCTATGAACAAGAGTTGTATGCAGTGATCTGCGCATTAAAGAATTAGGAGCATTTCTTGATCCATACAGAGTTCATTCTACATAGTGACCACCAAGCCCTCCGTTTTCTCAAGTCACAAAAGTCGGTTAACTCGAAGCATGCTCGATTGATAATCTTTTTAGAGAAGTTCACTTTTGTTATTAAACACCGCGCGAGACTTCAAAACAAAGTGGCCGATGCTTTGAGCCGCCAAACCCATATTTTAGTTACTCTTCATTCGAAAATCACTGCCTTCGAGAGTTTCCAAGAGCTTTACCCTGATGATGACGATTTTGGTACAAGCTGGTCTAAGAGTTCAAACAAGGAACCTTGCGGTGAGTACTTCATTCATGATGGGTTTCTGTTTAAGGGAAACCAACTTTGCGTGCCTAAGACCTCTGTCCGAGAGCAACTCATCTAAGAACTCTAATCCAGTGGTCTTTTCACACATACTGGTCGTGACAAGACCCTCGCCCTCCTTCGTGAGGGTTTCTTTTGGCCGCACATGCGGCGTGATATCGCTCGTTTCATCGAACGCTTTGGTGTGTGTCAAACAGCCAAGGGTCATTCTCAAAACACTGGCCTCTACACACTTCTCCCTATTCCGGAGACTATTTAGGTTGACTTGAGTATGGACTTTGTTCTTGGGCTGTCCAAGACTGCTCGTCACGTCGACTCCGTGTTAGTTGTGGTCAACCGTTTCTCTAAGATGGCTCATTTCATTTCATGCCGCAAAACTGCTGACCCTAGTTATGTGGCTGGCCTCTTCTTTCGCGAGGTAGTCAAACTCCATGGCGTCCCTCGCTCTATCACTTCTGACCGGGATGTCAAATTCATCTCTCACTTCTAGCAGGAGTTATGGCAATGATTTGACACAACCCTACAGTTTAGTAGCGCTTACCACCCCCAAACTGACGGACAGATAGAAGTTGTGAATCACACCTTGGGTGACATGTTGCGTTGTGTTGCTAGTGACAAGCCAAAAGGTTGGGACGTCGCCCTTGTGCAAGTTGAGTTTGCTTACAACTCCATGGTCAACCGCTCCACTAGACGGTCTCCATTCTCCATTGTTTACAGTAAGGTGCCCAATTTTACTGTCGACCTCTTTCAGCTCCCGAAAACTTGTAGCAAGACTGTTGCTGCTCTCGCTGACGAGGTGGTTTTCAACCACCAACTTGTCCATAACCTGTAGCGACAATGCCTATGTCATCGACCTTCCTCCTGGACTCCGTGTTTCCCCCACTTTCAATGTCTCTGACATGTTTGCGTGTCACTTGCCTGACGCCTCCCCTTCTGTTTCCCTTGATTGAATCCGGGGACGAATTTTTTTTTTTTTTAACAGAGGGGGTCAATGATGCAGCAGCTTATTTCCTTTGTTCATGTGACTCGTCGTTTGTCTTATTATTATTTCATGTTATTATCGTTTCCTTTGATGTAGCCTTATTAGGCAAAGCTACTTGTCATTTTGGTGCAGCAAAACTACTTGTCGTTTTGGTGCAGCCTTATAAGGCAGAACGTTCTCCTCTCTGAGGTAGTTAATAAGAATTCTCTTTCTAAAATATTATTTATGAGCTTGTCTCTGGTTCTTGTTGAGTAGTGTGTTCTCACCTAGGGGAATTTGGACTTTCTAGTTGTTTCTCCGTCCGATTTAGTCGGTAAACTAGTGTCCCTGCTGGTGCTATGCCAAAATGTTACACAATATTATATTAGCTAAAATGAATCTGGATGTCTAGCAACTTGCAAAGGCAAGACCCAAGTTTTGTTTTCTTTTGTTTTTGTTGATGGATATGAAGTTTAATTCCGTGACCAAATTAGGATTGATATTTTGGTAAAGTCATGAGAAATTCAATTTAGCTAATAATTCCCTGTTGATGATGATAATAGTCATTATGGCAAACTGATATACGTTTTGATAGTGTACCGTTTGGTTAATTATTAATTGTTGTCATTTTTTGATGCACTAGAACCTTCTTTTAAAAGAGTGAAACTGGCTAGAAAATCAAAATAATCCAACTGTGAAAATGAAAGGAGTGAACGCACGTACGTATTAAAAGTCTTTTACATGGATTATTTACATTTGAATCGGCTGTTATGTTGAATATGTGGTATTTAAAAAATCTTAATTAATTTGTTTTTCTTCTTCTCCACGAATTGTCTCATTTTGCTGCTGATTGGGACGTAGTCATTTCACAAACAATACTGAAGATTATTACTGGTTTTGGTGAGAGATGCATGAATATTGATGTAATAGAATTATTAGCAATTGAACACTAATCCCTAATTTTCAAGAATAATAAGTATACATAAAGTTAATAATGGCTCAATATTAATGTGAGATCACTAATTTATCGGCGATACAGATTTTCACAATTAGAAAAGAAGTATAAGATGATCCATACATCATCTCACAAATATTGTTTCTCTTCTCTTTTAAGTCTCAAAAAAGCCAAAGAGGCATCCATAAAAATCCAATTTGTGTACAAAAGTTAGGGCTGATTAATTAATACGTTTAGAATGCCTAAATTAAGTACAGTCTACATGAAAAAGTGTACAATATGATAGACAATACACAACTTAAAAAGGAATTAATTCTTTGATTCTTTCAAATAAACATGTCCCAAACCGAACAATATGATCAAACTCTTATATTCAAACTTAAAAATGTCATATTTTGTATAGTCGTGAATTTGACTAGGTAGTAAAACTACACCAACCCCTATTATTAACGTTCCAATTAGTTCAAATCCCTTAATTCAATATCAAAATTAAAGAATAATATTACCCTTCGTGAAGCCATCAAGATTTCTTAGGTGTAAAAACAAAAACTCATCGTAACTAATTTACTAACGTTGGAATTCCTCTATACCTCATTATATTGATCATAGAAAAGTACATGTCCGTACACAATTAGTTCATCATCTTTCCAAGGGCGAGCAACAAAAACTGCCCAACACAACTAACAAAACAGCATTCATGCAAAAAACCAAAAAAACAAAAAAAAAAAAAACAAAAGAAACTGAAAGAGGATTAATTTGCACACAAAAAATGGATTTACAGTCAAAACTATGGTAGAACAAGATGTCATGTAATTAAAGAAAAATTGCACGTGTGGCGTGAATAAGAGGGCTTTGTGAGCAAGGCAAAGAGGCGGCTGGCTGATCCACCCCTGTCCCAACTAGATGACACCTCCTCCACTAAAGGCCCACTTCCCTATGTTCCCCAGCTTCCCATTATTACTAAACGATAAAAATTAGCCTTGAAAAAAATAGTACTCATTATAACGGTATTAAGATTCTATGAAAGAAACTCATTATAAGTTATGTAGTTGTTAAATTTTTATTGTGAAATCAAATTCGTATTTTCTCAAACCCAATCCCTTACCACACCCCATCTTATTTGTTTGATTATTGTTTTTTTTTTTTTTGGAATTTCAATTTTTAATTAGAATTAACACAAGAATCACCTGCGTTATACTCATTAAATAATGTAATTTTCTGGAACTGTTTTTTGTTTATTCTCATTTAATCTGCTGATTCAAGTTTTTAATTTAAATTAAGATATAATTTTATATAAGAATTTTTTACTGTAATAAAAAAAATTAAATATGATTATTTTTTAATAATTTTTTATTATAATAAAATTCAAATTTTAAACTTAAATTAGTGAAATAAACAAAATTTTTATTAACTAATGAATTATCCAATATTCGCCGCTGCTAGCTAGACGCTAGTATTAAAATATAACAATTAAACCAGCGTATAACACCAAAATAATTAATTGGTGGAATCGGTCAAACCTGAGTATTTTGACCAAGAAGCAAAATACACTTCTATTTCATCAGCAGCTATTCGCCGCCGACGGTTAAAGACAAAACGACATTTATATCTTCTTCAAATCTTCATTCCGACTTCTTCCTTAATTCGGTCGGTCGTTGCCTTTCTTTACTATCCGATTCCCCCCCAAGTTCCCATCTCTTTCTTTCTCTCTTTCTCTCTCCTACATTATTTATATGTACTTAATTATATATTCTTCCTCATCATACTCTATCTATATATATATATATATAGACACACGTATACGCACATATACAAGCTAAAGTAAACCAGTTCTTACACACAAACAATATTAATCTCCAATACTAAAAATTCCTCACTTTCCAACAATGGAAGCTTACTCTTCCTCACCATCTTCTTCTTCAAAACCCCAATCATCACTCCCATACTACGCGTCGTCGCTCCACTCCGTACGCAAGGCCCCGGCGAAGCCGTGGAAGAAGCCGGTGGCGCCGCTGCCGCCGACGCCGCCGAGGGTGTACAAGGTCGACCCCATCAACTTCCGCAACCTCGTCCAGCGGCTCACCGCCGCGCCTGAGTTTCAGCTCGCCGCAACGGCCGCCGCCGACAACTCCCCTCGCCGCCTCCAGACTCTGGCTCCTCCGCCGGTCCAAACGACGCCGTTGATCACTGTCAACATGAGCAGAAACACCCTGGCCATGCCTTCGGAGGTTCTCCACCGTCCTTTGCCGGCGAAAGCCAGCAGCTCGTTGTCCAACGTGTACAAGGAGTTCTCCGAAGCATTTGATCACAACAACAAGCTGCCTCAGAACATGATGATCAAGGGCTCGGAAACGACGTTGTCTTCGACTACTTTCCTTGGGTTGAACTTGTCGCCTTCTTCTAACTCTCATAATTGGTGCTCTTTTCCTCTGTTGAGCCCCGGGACTCTATCTAGTCTTGAACAGAGTACAGTTCTTCGAAGTTCTTAACTTTTAAAAACGACAGTTAATTATATATTCACCCTATGACGCTGAAGCTAGCTGGTGTTTCCTTGGAAATATTGAGCTTTTTTTATTTATTTTCTAATGTTGGTTCTTCATTTTCTTTATTTTTTATTGGTTCTTTTTTTCTTGATGAGAAGTTAGAGATGATGTATAGGTTAATGTGTAATATTAGAGGTCCATGTACTATGAAATAATAACGTACAATATTAGTGTAGAAAAGAAGTATTATTATTTTCACGAGTGAGAAGTTTGAGAATGATTAATGTGAATAAACATATGATATGATCGACGAGTAATTTTTTTTTTCTTTTCTTTTATGTTGCTAAAATGATGTTTTTCCATTGAACGTAACAAAAGAATATTGATCAATACAATGTTCAAATACAAAAATACAATCAGAATGCTGTGGTCAGAATATGAAAGAATACTTGTATACAGTTACCTGTTGGTGCAAGAAAAATCATTTTGCTTTCAACAAAAAAAAAAAAAAAAAAAAAAAATCATATTGCAGATTCATACTTGCTTCAGCCTCTAAGAAAGTCTACATCCTTAATAAACACTTTTTCTCTCCTATAAAATTACAGTATAATGTGCATTATTAATCAGAATCGCTGCCATTTTTAAAATCATGCAAGTCCTGACAAAATTACAAAGCCTGTTGGTAAAATGATGCGAATGTTTAACAAGTTGAATTGCTAAGTATTTTTACAGAAATTAAAGGATATTGAGACTAACTCAACCTAACAAAACCGGCTTGTTAGGAGAGAATTGTCCTCACTTTATTAAGTAGATTATGCTAATATCTCCGGCTAATGTGGGATTCTAATATGCCCCCTCACGCACAGCGTGGACCATGCCAAACCGTTGTGAATAAGTCGATATTGGGGGACCCAACATTACAAAATTGAGCCTGCTCTAATACCATATTACGCAGAAAAACCAAAAAATGGAAAAATGAAATTTCCTGTATATTGAATAAATGAATGATACAAGCTTAGCTTTATATACAAGTCTTAAGTTAAAACTAAATAACAATGCTATAACAGAATGTAACAAACTAACTAATATCTAAAAAGTATAGAAGCTGAAGCTTTAAATGAGGAGAAGCACTTTTTATGTCCAGCTTGGAACCATCTCGGCTTAAACATCAATATTTTTTATAGAAGAAAGTTCCTGAAAAATAGTTAGTACGTATGAGCATAATACTCTGAGGTTTGGGCGGGTGGAGAATTTTAAATCCCCATTGGGATGAAATTTTGTTTTGACAATATTTCAATCCACGAAATGGATGACAAATTACTTGCTATGTCCCTTGACATTTGTTTACCTAGACAGTTGCCACCAGCCGCCGCTAGTGCCAGGCTGTCATCCATAAATATATACTATATACGTTCCAACATATTTAAATCAGAGTGGGGATTCAATATTAGACCTCAGTACCCACCAGTAAAGCAAGTGATTTTAACCGTAGCTTAAATTTTTAACTGTGAGATTTATGCAAGTTTATATTAAAAATTTATAGCGCCACATAAAATTATTCTGACTGTAAATTTAACTGTTAAATTAATAACGGTTCGTGGATTATAATTTTAAGATGCAAGTTAGTAGGTGAAGGTGTGTATCTTAATATCACAAAATTATTCAAACATGCTACAGGGTTACTGTGAAAGTGTTGTGTTTTCATTGACCAAGTAAAATATGGACTCGCTTCTTACAAGTAATGGTAGATGGGTGATAAACCAAGAGAAATAGACAATTAGGTAGTTCTTTTAGTCCAACCAGCTACATTCCATTTAGGGCCGGTAATATGGGTCACGACACGATAATATGATTCTAAAATGACATAAATTTTGTGGGTTAGGGTTGAGAAAAAAGAGGTTCATGTCAGAATTAGATCGACCTGAAATTGACACGAAAACACTGGTCAATTTCAGGTTGGACCCACCTAACCCGAACACGACACGAAACTCGTAAAAAACTAAAAATACATATATTTTTCATTACATATTTTTAATTTTATTATGAACTTATGATATCATGATAGTTATACTCAAAATCTTATACTATTATTTGCTTAATTTCAATGGATGTTATTGTATTTTAGTGTGTTATAAATTTTAAGTTATTTCTAATATGTAAAAAACTAAATAAAAGTATACAATTTTCGTGTCAATTTTAGGGTCACAGGTCAATTTCGTGTCACAGATCATTTTTGTGTCGTGTCATGTCAACATGAAAAGTTGTCGTGTCGTGTTCGTGTGCGGTTTTTAAAAAATTTAGTGTCATGGATCGTGTTCGATGGACTGTAAATTTAGAAAGAAATGATCAAAACACGACATGTGACACGAATTGTCATCTCTAATTGCATTGCTCACTTTTATTGGGATTAAGAAGTTTTTACTCTACTTCTAAGCATTTTTCTTATAGCATTAAAAAAAAGTTAGAGATTTAAGGAATAGAAGTATCTTGCTCGCCCGATATAAAAAAGAGATAAAAAAACAAAGTGTTTTGGGCATAGCCGTGGCGTCGCCTCCAGGCTTGTCATCGGACTACCAACCTCGTATTGCACGAGCACGTTGTGATGAGCCTAAGATGGTGGCGCGGGCGGTCTTTGGTGTTGCAAAGCACAAGGGTCAAAGACAAATTTAAGACTTAAATGGGATGACAATGCTGTCTATTTTTGGATGGCATGCCATGCGCAACACTTTTCGGCATTCATGGTCTCTTAAGGTCTCGTTCCTAGTGATGTGGGACATCTGATGGTGTCGAAACTGTTATGTTGGGCGGTTGTGTTGGTTTGTTCATCGGAACGATGACAGTTGACAGTGCTTTCCCACTCATTTAGTGTTTGACATCTTCACATTGTTTAGCCTTTGATAATTGTCTCTCCGTGGGAAGTTTTATCGTTGTTAATTGTGGTTGTTTTCTATTTTTTCTGTTTAATTTGGATATTTGTAATAATTGTGGTTTGTACCTCAATTTGTTTGTACATCTATCTCGTTTGTTTAGTACTTGGTTGTGTTTTCTGTTCATTGGGTTTCTTCTTAGTAGCTTTTTCTCCGATCTTGCTGCTATGAGATTCTCGAATTTATATAGAGAGTTATCTCAAAGAGTCAAGGTATGTGCTCAACTCCATTCATTTTACCGATTTGAGTTTAGAATTCGAGTTTTGTTACAGTAAAAGGCTTTTACAAACGGTCACATCTAACTTTTTTACTACAGTAAAAAGTTCTCATATAAAGTCATATATCAACTCAATTAAAAATTCGAATAAACAAATTAAATGAGAGCAACTAGTTTTACTCTTTTGGTGTATGTTTGTGGAGTCTACTATACATTATTTCCCTATAGAATAATCAAAACCGAGTTATTTATATAAAAAAAATCCTATTGGTACTCTCTATTTTGAATTGTAACATCAAATCAGTATTATGTTGTTTGGAAAGTACCTTGTTATGTCAAGACTCAAAGCACATGGTATAAAAATCAAAATTATAAAACTCCTTGTGAAATAAACTGTTGAGTCGGTAGGTAATGACTCAACTACATACTATTTTGCGAAAGTTTTCAGTCTCATTCATTATGTAACTAATAATAGCGTAAAAATCCCTAAACAAATAGTTGGAAAAAAATCCAAGTAAGCTTATAGCGTGATTATTGGGAATGGTTTACTTCTTCGGCTGGCTTGAAAAAAATGATAAGGATAATTTCGTGTCATGACCTGGAATTCAAAGGGCAGACTTTAATTCAAAGACCAATATGTCTGCAAATCCAAGGCAATAAACCTTCATCAATTGCTTTAATGGAGAAGCATGCATTAAATTGCTTAACTAAAAGAAAAGAAACAGAAAAAGGTTATAGAAAAATGGCAGATACTGAAAGCAGAATATATGCTAGAAACAAATGACCACAATTAATTGAACTGTGGGTCATCAAGAAAATTACGAATATCCTTTTTCTTAATTTCAATTTTTGTCCCCGAACTATAGTTAAATCATATTTTGATTCTTGACTTTTACCCTCTATTAAACAGCACATAACTTTCTCATGCATGCCCTTTCTATCGAAATTTTAACAATCAGATGGATGGAAGAATTATGACCCGTTCAGTGCTTAAACTAGAACCCATAATTCCAATTCTGCTATAGTAATTTTTATCTCACAAAAAATTTGAATTAAAAAATTTCTTGTCTCACAAACTTTCCACCAATGAATCAGAATTACTGATTTAAACGTGTGAACTAGACGGACCCGATTTGGGATGGTTTCATACCTGTTTTAAAGCGTTTGAATGTTAAGGATTCGAAAGGTAAATTGCCCTAGGATTAGGGAACTAAAAATGGGATTAACCTTTTCTTTTACTAAGAAAAATAATCAATGTCTCATACTCATGAATTTCCACTAAACAAAAAAACAAATCAGACTTATCTACATAATATATATACACATAGAGAACCTTACATCCAAGCTGCATAGCCAAATTACAAATCTCTAATGCATTGATTGAAAGGGATTCATGAGAAAAGTAGATAGCAAACATTACAAAATCCTATAGGCAGTATTTGTTTGAAGTCCCTAGATTCCTATGCACCATTTTTAGATGAAGTTTTGTGCTAAGCATTTATCAGATGAAGTTACTTCAGAGTTTTAACTATACTTTGGTGTCATTGATTCCAGTAGTTCCTTAGCTGTGACATGTGAAGGAGGAGCTCATCTCTGCCCAAACCAGTGACACTGCTAGTCATGATCCACGGCGGGTGTTTAGGGTAGTTTTGCGCGATGAACTGTTGAAAATCCCTGATGTTCTCAGCCGGCTTTTTTCCTTTTCCCTTCATTTTGTCACACTTTGTAAAAATGAAAGTCAGCGGTATCTGACATCCACAAGGGAAAGTAAAGTCGATGAAATTAATAAAAACTTCCCTGCACCAGTACTCCAGTTGTGGAGTGAATTAATATGATCAAGTGAGAAGCTCACATTGTTGCGTCCAAGCCAATTGGCACAGTCAAGGTCGATCTTTTGAGGTGGAACACTTGCATCAACAAGAAGCAGAACCGCAACCAGAGTATCTCTGTTCAGAAAATACCCTTTAGTGAACGAAGACCAATCCATTCGAGCTGCTTCTGAAGCCTTGGCAAATCTACAAACAAAGTGAAATCCCTTAGCATCTAAGGCTAAACATATAATTCCATGGTAGCACAAGGTTATGTGAAAGTATTTCTAGTTGAAACAGTAAGCAATATGCTCAAGTAAGTTACACAAAGGAAGACGGAAAAGAGGTAACGCAGATAACTTTAACCAATCTAAAACAAACTCCCAATTGTCATCCATCTCCTAATCACAAGGTTTGAATATACTATATTTATAAATTATAGCCCACAATGTCAGATGCTGAAAGTTAAGAGGCAAAATGCATAGAGGCAAACTGAATGGTTCAATTGATGCCATTTCACTAAGATCATAATCGTTCAATAATCTCTTCCACAGATTCACGGAGATCTCAGTCATTATCCACTAAACAGTTCTTAATGTCATAGACCGGTGCTTATCTGCTAAACGCAGCCTTCTTTGGCATACAGATGCACAACCATATAAAGATCAGAAAGAAGTGAAGAACGCAGAATTTAACAGTTCACCCGAGGCAGCAAAGGAGTAGAGGTAGAAATTTAAAACCCTTTGGTTCTATTTCTACGAGAACTTACGCCTAGTGTTGAAAAGATCTAATATTCTCGAATTACCAAATCGATGACACTTGGAAGCTTATATAGGCAAGGAGGCATGAAAACAGCAGGTAAAATGGTACTTCATTTGCATGGATTAAGCAATCATTACTAGGAATATGCGTATCATCACGAGCACAAAATCATCAGTAAGCAAAGAGAGGTCGAAACAGAAGAGTAATTTCAGTTTTATAAAGTATATAGAATTTTAACACATAAGCATGGCGTGCATCACTTTTTGTCTGAAAATCATCTAAGAAGCAAAGATTACAACATATCAAATATAACGCGTCTCCAATCTCTTGATGGCAAATCTAAGGATATCAAGTAGAATTCTTACCTCCACCAAAGACCAAAGTTGTTGTTGTTATTATTATTATTATGCTCAAATAGTAAACTTGACTATTTTCCTACTCACCAAAGGCAATTATTTTCTCTAGTAAACGTAAGACTAATTTCTCTACAGAAAACTAGAAAGAGCCAGTCACTCTTTGGAAGCTCCTAAGAATTGTATTGCACAAACTACACAATTAAGGAAATAAAAACGCAAATATAAAAAGAAAAAAAAACTCTAGCCAGTTAAGATTAAAGAAGATCAAACTAGGCCTTACCCATAGCCAGGCAAATCCACAATGTACCAACTTCTGTTCACCAGAAAATGATTTATTAGCTGAGTTTTCCCTATTTTTTTTTTCCCTACACAAACATCAACATTTAAAAAAACAAAAAAAACAAAAAAAAACCCTTTTTTTTTGTTGGTTCAAAAGTGGGAAGAACAAAAGAAAAAACGAAAAACCTGGCTTTTTAGAAGTAAGCGCGACTTCCTTTTTCCTCACGAGGGCATTAATAAGCGATGACTTGCCGACATTGGAACGACCCAGAATAGCGAATTCGGGTCGGTCGTCTTTGGGGCAGTCCTTGGCCCTGCCGCTGCTCTTCACGAACTCCACGTCCTTGATCTTGGCGTCGCCGGCGTAAGGTCCGACCACGATGTTGGAACCGGGCAGGACCATTTCTTCGGTGACCTCCTCAGGTTCGACCCCGGGCGGTACGAAGAGGAAGTCGCGGACGAACCTGGCGGTGTCGGAGGGGGTCGGAGATGGGCTCGTGGGGGTCGCCGCCGAGACATGGTGGCTCCGGCTCCGACTCCGGCGAGCTGAGCTTGAGAGAGTGTTTCGGAGAGTGAGAGTGAAAGGTCGAGTTTTGGTAGAAGAAGAAGGGGATAAGAGAGTGGCGAATTGGAGGGTTGAGAGGCGATTTCTCAGTAACATTATTCTTATGTTTCGGCTCTCGAGATGTTTACGTCTGTTTCAGGTTTCGGAGATTAGGCAAAAGCAAAATAACCAAACAAGCTTTGGCCATTGTTTTTGTTTGATTTCCATTTTCCAAAGTTCCAAGTTCCAAGTTCCGAGATTGCTTCAAAACGACGTCGTAGTTAGATCATACGAATATTTTATTTCACATATCGTTTACTGGGAGCTATGTCGTTTATGATGGTGGGTCCATTTTTTTGAGAGATTTTTAATCTGACCTGCTCAAACCCTAGGAAAAATATCGACTTTTGTTGTTTAGATGTGCAATCAAATATATTTAAAAAAATGTGCAAATTTAAACAATAAATATATTTTTAATTGGAAACTCCCGCTCGCGCGCGACTTCAACTAGTATATTTAAAAAAATGTGCAAAAAAAATAATATTACTTGGTTTTTGAAAAAAAAAAAGAAGCTATATAACTCACAGTAAGAAGCTTAAAACCAAAAGAAACTCTCTAATATTGTAATATTCTTGCACAAAAAGATCACTAAAATCACATAAAAATCTTGGATCATTTTTGTAATGGACGAGAATTGGCACCCTCTTAATCATTGTTTAGTATCTTAAAAAAAACTTTGAGATGTATTTTTTTAACAATTTTGAAGGCCTTAACATATCAATTTTAATGATTCTCAAAAGAGAAAAAAAAAAAAAAAAAAGGTATCAATTTTGATGCCGTTTACAAGACAACACGTCGTTTAGCCACTACAAAGGGTGTCGTTGAACCATCATCCATTCCACCGCCAAAGCTCTTTCTTATTATGGTGGATTTTATTATATGATGTCGTTACTCGTTCATTAGGGACCAACATGTCATTTCTAGTATCGTTTTTTTTTTTTTTGAATGAATTTCTTGTGTCGTTTTACGTCGACCTGTTGTTTCGCACAAGAAACGACATCGTAATATAGACGTAAAATCCCCGTCAATAAAACGTCTGGACCCGGATGGAAGGAAGCATCGCATCGCACTGAACCTGGGGGATTTCATACAGTCAACAATGTCTTGGCTCGCAAGATCGATCGCCAACTCACTGAAACTCGACGACGACGGCGACGAGGCCGGCGACGCCATTACAAAGTCGCCGGCGATTCCCAATCCAGAAGGCTCGCCCACGCATTCGCCGCCGTCGGAGTCAGCAACCCCCACCGGCCGCGGCGTCAAAGAAGACCTATCGGAGCTCACCAAAACCCTAACCCGCCAGTTCTGGGGCGTCGCCTCCTTCCTTGCCCCGCCTCCGGAGTCGCCTCGGGCTCAGATCTCCGATTCGGCCGCTCCAGAGCCGTCGGATTCGAAAGCTGCCGACGAGGATGTGATCGCCGGAATACGCAGCGACTTCGCGGAGATCGGCGGGAGATTCAAGAGCGGGATATCGAAGCTGTCGAATAACAAGGCGGTGTCGGAGTTCACCAAGATTGCTTCGAATCTCCTGCAGATTGGAGATGAGGATGAGGCCGAGGCCAGAGCCGCGGTTGGAGTCACCGACGAAGTGCTCGCCTTCGCACGGAACATCGCTATGCATCCAGAGACTTGGCTTGATTTCCCTCTGCCCGATGATAAAGATTCAGATGGTAAGCTCTTTTTTTTTTGCATTTTTTTTCCCCAAAAGGTTTGTCTCTATCAAACTTAATTTGATGCTCTTTGTTAAGATGAATCTACGTAGATCAGACTTCAATTTAGCAAACGGAAATGATCTTCATCGACTTGTTATGATATGCACAACTGTCTATCGCAATCGGATATGGATAATTCGAATTATAAAGTTGATTATTTGATTTTCTTCCTTCGATCGCAATGGAGTACATGGACAATTTCGGATTTTTTTTTTTTTTTTTTTTTACTTTTTATTCTGTTGCGATTCCAAATCTCGAATTTTTCTTGAACTCCTGATAGTTCGATACCTTTCTGCATTGTTGGTTAAGCTCTCTATAAGTGAAAATTTCTACCCGTAGCCTATTGCAGAGTATCTTCAACTGTTTTAGTACGAACTTATGAGAATTTTTTTTTCTTTCTTTTTATTTTGTTTAAAGATTTTGAATTGTCGGATGCCCAACAAGAGCATGCTCTGGCTGTTGAGCGTCTTGCACCGGCGTTAGCTGCTCTCAGGATTGAACTTTGTCCGGGGCATATGAGTGAGAATCACTTTTGGACGATTTATTTTGTGCTCTTGCATCCTAGACTCAGCAAAAATGATGCTCAGCGTTTGTCAACACTGCAAGTAAGTGTTTCTGTGATTTAATCAATTTCCTTTTTTTTTCTTCGTTATGGGATTTTTTTTTTTTTTTTTTTTATAATTTTCTTTTACATGCATTACCGTGTAACTCTGTGTCTGTGACATGAAAGTTATGTTCGTTGAAGAACTTTATTTTCCAAATTTCACCGTAGGCCTATGGCTCCTGCTTTACTAACAAGTAACGAGAAATGAAACCATCATAATTCAAACTCTGGTGGATATACACGCACTCACACACCCAACCACATGAGCTAGCCTCAAGTGGCCTTGTATCTTCTTTGTTTTCCCATTCCCACCTTCAAAATAGTAGAAAAAGATCTTCATAAGGCTTGTATCTGCTTTCTCATCACTAGACAATCAGTTCAAATGGTTGACTCTTATGTTATGTGCGCAGATTGTTGAAGCTAGATCGATGTTGACTCAGGACTTACAGAATCGAGTTAAGGTAAAGACGGAGCCGGAGTCTTCTGGAATAATGGGCACCGTAAATCCTAGAGGAGTAGCCGATTCACCAAAACAACTTCTTTCTGTGCCTCCAAGTGCTGAAGCTGACTTTGTGCCTATTGAGACAGTTAAAACTGTTTCTGAACCTTCAGCTTTGGTAGTTGATCTCGAGACACAGAAGCACCCTGTACAAAGCACTGAGATTGAAATCGTTGACAAGGCTGTTGTTGAGGAAGGAATAGCAAATCCACCGAAATATCAAGCACCAGTCTCTGGCTCTGCCTCCAAAGAATTGGATGGGAAATTTGAGGATGATGGTGATGATTGGTTGAAAGAGGACAGTTCGGAGATGTTGGGTGTGAGTCGAACCTCCATTCCTATAGGGGACGATGAGGATGTTTCTTTCAGTGATCTTGAAGAGGATGACGAAGCAGAGGTGCCCATCAGCCACAAAAAAACAACATCTGGTTCCGATTCATCAACAAAGGACTCGCGAGATTGGGTTCGGCTGAGCGGAAGCTCTGCTGGTTCGGATAAGGAAATAAACTCCACTGAGATCAGACATGCTGGGTCGGAGCAGGTACGTGCGCCTAACGCCGAGACCAAAGAAGCCAATGATTGGCTTGATGTTGATGACATTGATGTCATGTGAGGGTCCATAAACACTTTTCTTTTGAAACTATGCGTTTAATTTCTAGCATTCATGCCCCTGTTGTGAATAGCTTGTGAAATTGAAGGTTTCTATTGTCAAAAGTTAAAAAAGACTTTAGAAACTCTTATGGTAATATGATTGTACATAAAGTCACTGTACCAGATGATTGTTTCCTGCATAATTGATGTATTAAGCATAGTAAAATACAGCATCATTTAATAATCTGTGTTTTTTTTTAATTAATTAATTTATTTGCCAATAATATGTATGTTCTTAACTCTGGGTCCAACGATCGAATATTGTTGTGCAAATTATGATTCCTCTGACTTCCTTAAACGCGGGGTTGTTAAGTTGGTTATCTTGTTAACAAACCCTAAATTATTTCAGTATACCGCAAACATGGTTATTTATTTTGTATTTTCAAAAAATTACTTTGAAGCAGTTCTCAGCAAATATTTATCAACGTTGCTCCTTGATGAATTAGCCGGTGGAAGTCTGATTTACCATAAATGTGTATTTATTTACTCGGGAAAAAATGGAGTTTCTGACTCTATTAAGTTACCGAACCATTGACATAGACTATGTGCTGTTTCATGTATCTATGTGCTATTCTGTACATCAGAAATATAAGAAAAAGACTAATCAACTCGCTGTGTAAATATCATTATTTGCAGGCACAAAACCACCCTCCCAAACCACCCACATTCTTAGACTAAATCAGCTCCCTACTTAGGGGCCTCCTCAAGACCTTATGGGTCTGAAACTGCTCGAAAGCCGCTCAAGCTGAGACCAGAACAAGCTTCCGAATGAAAATCTTGGCCTATCTTCAACCTCTCTCTTGGCTATTTCGGGGCTTGTACTTGGAGATGAACGACGAGGAACCCAATCCGGTGACCTGTGAACTGCGATGATGGATCCTCCGATCTCTGTGATTGCCAATTCCACTGTTTCTGGATCCACATCATTCCCCGAAGCATCTGTGACGTAAATTGACCCGAACGCTTTATCATCCCGTGTTGTTATCTCAATTCTCGACATGGATAGGCCATTCTCACGAAACACTCGCGTGATGTCCGAAAAGAGTCCCATCTGGTTTGGAGAGCACAGGTCCAGTCTCAATCCCTGCAAACAAAATCACGCAATATAGAGCACTACCATTCATCAATATTGGTCCTAGATACTGCTAAATGTTTAAAGCTACGTAATGAGTGTAGTTTTTTCTATTGGGGGGTTTCACAAGAATACGATTGCAATTTTTTCCCCCTAACAAATGAAAACGTTTTTGAGCACTGAAAAACAACAAAGTCATAGGGGACATACATGTGAGATCCTCCGCTCTATTGCAGCAATCAGACATAGGATAAGCTTGCGCCTCTCGCTCTCTGTGTCCAAGGGACAGCCATATTTGTGTCGTATAAAGTACTCCTGCAACATTCAGAATTGAACATTAAAATTTAATCTCCATACATAAACACAAGTATTTGTATACACCCTCATCGTACCTGATCAGCAATTGTTCCCTTCGAGGCAACTACTGCATGGGACACCACGTATTCTAAGTCCGCAAGAGCACACACTGTGTCAAATAGCAGTTTGGGCCTGTCTCTACTCCTCACATTGACAATCCAATACCCCTTCTCTTCACACCTCTCTATGGTCACGTGCGTCCTATCACAACCCTGCTTGTGTGTCGTGCCACCACCATCGCAGCCCCGACACCGCTCGTAGTCCCCGTCCTCATACATCAACTGGTGCAACCGCCGCTCGGTGTGGGTCCGCCCGGGGGCCGGGGTGGTCAACCTCACGCTCCTCTTTTCCCCCTTCCCATGATGGGCCTCCACCACGTTTTGGAGCTGCTCCTGCACTTGGGCCAGCCGAATCGGGTCCGTTATGGGCCCACCTCCAGGACCATTTTCCACGTAGACAATGCACGCCGCTCTTGAGTTGTGAGTCCAGGCCATGGTCGCCGTGACATTGCAGCCCAGCTCAACGAGTACCGCCGAAATTTCGGACATTAGACCAGGCCGGTCCGTCCCTGTCATCTCTAGGGCCGTGTCCTTTTGACCGGGCATTACGTCTCTTCCAAGAAATGCATTTACCTCTTCAGAAGGGGAATTCCCGCCTCTTCTAGTTTCACAAAGTGCCTGCAATTTGTCACTTCAATATATCACCACTAACAAGCATAGTAAATTAGGCTAAATGTCACTTATATATATATATATATAGATATTATAAATGAATTGTATGAGAGAGAGGGAGAGAAACGGACCTGTTTAATATAAAGTATGAGTCTTTCGTCAGTTAGTTTGTTCCCGAGCTGGTCCGTCACATGAAACACTGCAAACCACAGTGATAAAAAATAAATAAATAAGTAAAAATGGGACCACGTGAATCAGGGACCACACCAGCAGTGGTGTATGACTCATAGCTCAGAACTATATGAATATTATACGAACATTAGAACTTAGTATATATTAACCTAGGATATATACTTGGATAATATTACTATAGAAGTGTATATGTATGTGATGCAAGTAGAAAAAGATAACGATCATCAAGGTTGTTGGGGAGCAATACTGACCGTCCATGAACCATCCACCGTCGGAGGAAATGTACGACTTTGAAATAACAAGGTCAAGATCTGTCAAAACCTGGACCATGGCTAGCAAAATCCCATGCTTGTTTGCACTGTCAACCTGTATAAATTTCGACCAACCCAAAAAAAAAAAAAAAAAAAATCAGTAAGGTTTCTATTTCACGTGTCACTTTCCTTCTTCTAATGAACTTTTTCGGTTGGTCCCCAAGATTTGACAGAGTTTCACAGTTTCATGTTGTGTAACTAGAACACTTCATTTGGTTAGGATATGACGTTTTCTTCAAGTGAGAAAGGGGG